CATAAATGTATATATATTGTAAGACATTTAAAATAAAAACTAAAACTAATAGAAAGTGAGGAAGAAGAAAAGAAAAAGTAAGAATTCAAATAGAATATATAAAAAGTACAAGGGGGAAAAAAGAAAAAAGATATAAACAAGTGGCTTCCAATTTTCTTCACAGCAGTTATAAGTACAAATATATTTTATCCCCTTTCTCTAAGTTACCTCATATTGCTCTTCTTTCTGTAACTTATCCAGTCTAATCATCAAAGCCGTAGATCACAAATACCTTTTCCCATGTTTATACAAGAAGTCCTTAAGAGGACTTCTTCCAGTCACCAATAAATGTAGTGAATCAAAGTTCATTTATCCATTTCAGCAAGCTTCAACTTCACCAACCATCCGTCCATTGTGAGGAGGGCTGAATCTTTCCAACTCTGTGCATGTAGTATTCTCATTGCGGTAATTCATGCTACAAAGGAAACCTCAATAATATTTTCAAGCACAATTCCAAGGCATCAATGTCTTCTTCATTCAGCCTTCCTGATGATAAGAATTTTCATAGCCATCTGTTAGAACATGAAAAACTTTATCTCTGAGAATACATCCTGTTTTTGGATAGTGTGATGTCCCTGCACTTTAACATTTTGTTAGCTTTAGACCAGGGGTGAAATGCTCCCAGATCGGACTGGATCACCCGATCCAGAAAGTTTTGCGCATGCACAGAAGGTCTGCGCGCACCTGTGATGCACTCACGCAAAGCGAGCGCACATGCACGGCATGTGCGCTTCCGAACCGGTAAGAAAGGTAAGTAGATTTCACCCTTGCTTTAGACCCTTTCCTAAATAACAGATATTTCTTCATTTCACATCTTGTGTCATCATCCCTGTATATTTTTGAGCTAAGATAAAGACTCTGCTTCTACTACAGCTTCTTGTCCACTTATTTGGAGTGGGATGGCATGGCATAGCTTGTTAACGTCTTAGTTTTTTTAAGGGGGGCATAATGAGCTTCAGACCAGCTTGTGCTCACACTTTCAACAAGTGATTCCTCGAGTCTTCCTCACTTCCAGCTACCAAACTGGATCATCAGCATATCTTAAAATTCTGCCAGCAATTTTAATTTCGGTCTCTATTTTTTCTCATTTAACACATAAGATACAGGTGATCTATTTTTACTTATTCCTAGCACTGATGGACCTACCAATTCTGAGGGATATTCTTATCTCTTAGGTCTGTTTTACACCATTACCACAGTACAATCTGAATAGCAAGCTGGCTCCCGTAAGACTTGCTGACGTTTTATTTCAGGGCTCAACAATCTTTTTAGATTTTCAAGTTGCATGCAGGTTTTGTAGTAAACAAGAACATATCCAGTCACATAGCTATGTCACCATGATGGGTGGGACTGACATTGTTGGGGCGAGGGAGTGTACAGAGAGAATTGGCAGGACTTTAAGGATGGAAAGAATGTCCCTTATTGAGTCAAAATGCAAATAATCATACTGGTGAAATCAGTGGTTAGACTAGACTATTGGAATCAGAATGTTGGGGTGCTCTAAGGACTGCAAAAATACATAACCCATACTCCATGCGTTACTGATTTCTATCTCATCTCAAGTCAAATAACACTATGCAAGTAAATATTCCCTTATTCATGTGGAGATATTCCATTTGTGTACACACAGTGTCATGGAAAGTGATAAAGTACAGATCCTATTAAATCCTGAAGGAAAAAGGAGCCAAGTTCTACTGCTGGCAAGTCATCTGTTTAATAGAAGGAAGAATATCCATGCTTAACTGTGAAAAATCCTTGCAAAGCAACTTAGCTAGGGAGTAGACCCACAAAGAACATCAGCCTTGCCTCCATCGTCCCGGCTGCATTGGAAAGGGGGACATGTTCGTCACAGGTGGGTGAAATTAAGGCAGTAACAGGAGCCATGGGATCTCCAGGTGAGTGCCAGTAAAGATAGAAGCAAAGCTGGTGGGGTTTTCTGCTAATTTTTGCAGTCCTTTTGCCTGCACATTTCATAATCTTTCTTTCAAAACAGAGAGTTCCTTTCTCTTTAATCTGACAGAGCCCTTTTCCTACTGGGAGATCAATGCAAATTATTCCTTTATTCCTTCACCTTCTTCTTTCCAACCAAACCAAGCACCCACCTCCTTTTTTACTTTTCTCTGGATGTCCTATTTATAGGCATATCCCTCCCTCCCTCATCTCTTGAACATTGACACTCAGAGGGAGCTGGTACAATGGAATTAGCAGGCAAGGCAACTTAGTACAAAATAGAAACATCACTTCTGTTTCCCCAAAGGCCTAGCCTGTATGCCAATCAATATGACATTAATAATATGGCATGTTTGCTTGTTCCCCAAGCCTATTTCTCCGTTTGGGTGGGGAAGGGCATTTTGCTCTGAAAAAATAATAAAACATTTTGCAAATGGGAGTTCCAAAATCTACGTTACCAGCAAATCATACAAACAACTCAGATATTCATGAGGAGTGGAATAACAGTCTGTTTGGGGGGAGGGGATGGAATAAGATGACAATATTGTAATGATAAAAGGATAGGTGATGCCAGGAAACCTGTTCATACGCACTTAAAATGAAAGGGGAGAAATCAGAGGAATCCTAAGCTTGGTAACAAAGTATGCAAAACACAGACGTCCTGTATTCTACCTGTGGGGGACGTCCTGCATTATCTTTTTGGTATCCACATCAGTAAGGGTTAAAACATTCTTTTGCTAGACAATTCACTTCTATGTTGACAGCACAATGATTTCATCCTGTCTGTAGGATAGAGGTTGCTGCGTCCTCCAGAACTAGCACGTCATTCTCATCAGGCAGCAAACAAAGCTTTACCTGATCTCAGTCAAATCTTCTCTCAGAAACACTGAAAGAGATCATCCTCATTTGGATCCAGTTTTAATGCAGAAGTGGGATTAAAATGAAGGGTCTTTTTAGCATTTGTTATCCAACACTTCTCATCCCGATAGTCAATTTTTTTCCCTTGTATGTGAAAGAGACACTATTTTAGATAGTAACATCTTTTCACACTACCGATTGTGGGAGTGTGCAACTGGTAAATGGGATTACTAGCCCACTCTAAAATTCCATATATAAATTGTAGGATCACGTATAGTCTTAGGAGGAATTTACACATTGTGGCAAGCCATGGGATTGTCTTAACCATGTTTAATAAGCCAAATTGGCTGAAACTTTACAAGAAGCTAAAGCAAAAACCAGGGGTGAAATGCTCCCGGTTCGGACCGGATCACCCGATCCGGTAGCGATGGCGGCGGGTGGTTCAGAGAACCGGTAGCAAAAATCCCTGCCCCCCCCCATGCCCAGCTGAGCCGCGCGATCATCAGAGGCTTTTTTTTTTTACTTTTAAAAGCATTTTTTCTACAACCTCTTCGGCCAAAGAGGTTGTAGAAAAAATGCTTTTAAAAGGTAAAAAAAGAGCCTCTGACGATCCCAGCTGAGCAGCGTGATCGTCAGAGGCTTTTTTTTTTAACTTTTAAAAGTAATGCTTTTAAAAGTAAATAAAAAAAGATTGCACACCACAGCTGATCACCCCTGCCCCTCATGCGCTGTTCTACTTACCACATGCCTCCTTTTGGCATGCAACTGCGCGCGCGTACCTCACATTTGGTGCGTGGTGCGCATTGCCCATGCGCACCCAATGAACCAGTAGTAAACCGGTTCAGATTTCACCACTGCCAAAAACCCATAATTTACAACTGCAGGGGCTAGGTTCACAATTATACTACTGTAAGCAAAAACTAAGCAATCCATGTTATAGTGTTATATGGTGAGTAAACCCAGCTACCACACAGGGATATATAGTATTAATGTTTTGTTTCTCTCAGACAGACGTAGGTAAGTGGCACCCATAAGAAATTTTGGATTAGATTTCCATAAATCCCAGTCTGGATGGTCACAGTTTAGAGCTTTTGGGATGTTGTCATGCAAAGCAACTTGGATTTATCAGGTTGATTATACATGCTTTGAGAACATAACGAAGATATACCCATTTGGGGCAGGCTGGCATTAAACAACCCAGATTTTAGCCCTGGAATAAGCTTGATTCACATCATAATGGGTGGTTGATATATTAAATAAAAAACAAATCATTCCCCTGGTTTAACATTATATGTCAGCTAGGCCTAATACTAAATCGGCTTTGCCTTGCTGATTACAGGCTCAAATTCCAAATGATGGAGCAGAAGATGAAACAGCCAGCCACACATGGATTTGTTTGCAATAAGCAAAACTACTTTTAGTTTAATTCTCAGGAAACTGAGAAACTAAGAGTAATTTTGCTTCTTCCAGACATTTGCATCTATGTTTGGCTGGCTGTATGGAATCTAGATCCAACATCGAGAAAACCTGAGTGCTGAAATGTAGATACAGATAATCGATTTGCAACCACAAGTGAGCCCAGAATTTTTGTTGCTAAGCAAGACAGTTATTAAATGAGTTTTGCCCCATTTTACGACTTTTCTTACCACCGTTGTTAAGTGAATCACTACAGTTAGTAACATAATTGTAAAGTGAATCTGGCTGCCCCGTTGACTTTGCTTGTCCGAAGGCCGCAAAAAGTGATCATGTGACCCAGGAGCCTGCAACCGTCATAAATATGAGTCAGTTGCCAAGTGTCTGAATTTTGATCATGTGACTATGGGAATGCAGCACTGGCCGAAAGAGTGAAAAATGGTCATAAGTTACTTTTTTCAGTCTTGTTATAACTCCGAATGGTCACTAAATGAATGTTTGTAAGTTGAGGAGGACCTGTATAATATCGGTTTTAATAAGCTGGCAAATATTTACCTAATTACAAAAGTTATTCCAATTCTACTACCACAGTTTTCTACAGATTGTGAAAATCCAAGTCTTGTGAAAGGTAGAAAACTAAGGAAAGCTGACAAAAAAAGTGTTCCTTTTCCCATTTCTATCTCATTTTCCAGAAAAGGGAGAGTAGTTAAGGGATTTTTTTTTTCTTATTTTTTTTCCAGGGCATGGATCTCCTGCAGTAACCAGTATTGTGCCATATCAGGAGGAGGAGGAGGGTTGAAGAATGGCAACCTTTACTGCAATGATAGTGCTGCTGAAGTTTCCATAGCGACCCACCCACATTGTCCCTGGTTCCTGCTGGCTTTATCATCTATTTCCACTCCCACTAGAGTCCTGAAGAAGGGTCTCCCTATAAAGAAATATCCTGGGCAAAATTAGGCATCAACAATAGCAACAGGTTTGAGGGCCAGAAGGTGTTTGGAAGATATGTGGGAAAAAAAATCTGTTTATTTCAGCATTGTGCTTGATAAAACACACAGGCATGTGCATATAGAGAGAACTGCAGCTTTGTTCTTACTGGATATTTATGCAAGAGAAATAAATTCTGTAAATTCTACAGCTCTCTCTGTATCCTGTCCCTAGTTTTTTTCTGCACTCATCCACGCGTCCCCTCAACCAATGTCCTCCTTTGACTCATCACCAGCCCACAAGTTGAGGCAGTTTAAGATTATCTTTGGCTGTTCCAGTTTTAAAATAGTCTTTACCTTCTTCTCTTAAGGTTAAGACATGAGGCTAAAACCAGGAGAAGTGCGGGTTCTAGTCCCACCTTACCAGAGGTGGGTTTCAGCAGGTTCTGGCCAGTTCTGGAGAACCGGTAGCGGAAATTTTGAGTAGTTCGGAGAACCGGTAGTAAAAATTCTGAATGACTCCACCCCCATCTATTCTCTGCCTCCTGAATCCCAGGTGATTGGGACGAAATGGGGATTTTGCAGTAATCTTCCCCTCGAGTTTTTTTTTTTTAATTTGATTTATATGCCGCCCTTCTCCGGAGGGGAAGTCAGGGCGGCTTACAATGCGTTAAGCAATAGCCTTCATACTTTTGTATATTTATACAAAGTCAGCTTATTGCCCCCACAAACTGGGTCCTCATTTTACCTACTTTAGAAAGGATGGAAGGCTGAGTCAACCTTGAGCTTGGTGAGATTTGAACTTGCAGTAATTGCAGGCAGCAGATGTAAGTGGATGTTAATTAGTCTGCTGAGCCACCAGAGCTCAGAGTGGAGTGGGAATGGAGTGGGTGGGAATGGAGATTTTACAGTATCCTTCCCCTGCCACGCCCACCAAGCTATGCCACGCCCACCAAGCCACACCCACAGAACCGGTAGTAAAAAAATTTGAAACCCACCACTGCACCTTACCCATGAAAGCTAATTGGGCAACCTTGGGCCAGTCATTCTCTCTCAACCCAACCTACCTCACAGGGCTGTTATTGTGAGGAAAATAAGAGGAGGAAGGAGTACAGGTAGTCCTCGATTTACAACAGTTCATTTAGTGGCTATTCAAAGTTACAAAGGCACTGAAAAATGTGACTCATGACCGTTTTTCACAGTTTTGACCTTTGCAGCATCCTCATGACCATGTGATCAAAATTCAGATGCTTGGCAACTGGGTCATATTTATGACTTGGTCCCCAGGTCATGTGATCCCCTTTTGCGACCTTCTCACACAAGCAAAGTCAGTGGAGAAGCCCGATTCAGTTAACCACCGGGTTGCTAACTTACCAAGTGCTGCCATTCACTTAACAATTGTGGCAAGAGTGGTCGTAAAATGGGGCAATTTAACAAGCGTCTCACTTAACAACAGAAATTTTGGGCTCAATTGTGGTCGTACGTTGAGGACTGCCTTGTTGCTGCTTTGAGCTATTTATGCAAGTAATAAAGGCAGGTTAATAAAACATAACAATGTCACCTCTCCAGGTATCATCACCGTGTAGCTCGAGGGATCTTGGCAAGTTACCAGCAGGAGAAGGGAGTAACCAGCTGCACTTCGTTCTCATGGCCACACTTAGATTCCTCTGGGAATTTGGGAAGGGTTCTAAGGCTGACAGGGGAGGTGATGTAATGGACTGTGAGAATAACCTTGGGAAACAGGAGGAAGAGCCGCAGCCAAGGCAACAAGCAGAATAGAGATATCTTTGCCCAGAGGCAGAATCGGGGCGGAGAAAGCATTTCAGAAGGGACGCTCCCTCGCTTTCAGGAAAATAAAGACAGGGGAAAAGGCAAGCTTCCGTCACTGTAACCTTACAGTAAGGGTAATATCTGTATTCCTGGTCTTGGTTTCCTGTCTGGTCTACCTCAAAGGGCTGGCAGCCACATTCCAGCCTGTTAGATCTCACAAAGCTTGGAACAGGGCAGATTAATTTCCTCAGCATCTCCTGCACAACTAAGAGCCTTTCCCAGAGCTGGGCTTGATGTTTACCCTCTACAATTCTGAGAGTCCCCATGTGTATGAGAACCTGTCCGTGTTGCACAAATGCTATTGAGATCATAAACATGTGTTTTTGACACTGCTTCTACTATTACCTGAGAAACTTTCATTCTTCCTTTAACTGACACAAGTTACAGTCACAATAAAAGTTTTCTTCTTGATTTTCTCCTCCAAGGTAAGGAACCATTCATTGCATACAACATCCACTAGATTTTGCGGATTACAATTTGTAGACAAATAATTAAGGGTGCTAAAAAAGAATTCCTCTTTTTTATTTATTTTTTCCCCTATGGCTTCAGAAGCCCTCCTTAAATCCATAGTTTTAGTATTAAGAATTTTTAATAGAGGTATCGTAGCATTTTGATTTTATAGTATTGTGGTAGGAATCCTAGCTTTTAGTTATCTTCTATCTCTTCAGTGTTATTATTGAAATGGAGGTAATTCTTCCTGGTTATATTTTATGCTGGTCTATAGTCAAAAGGCTCCAAGATCACTGCACATGGGGACTACAGCCAAGAAATTAAAAGGCGTTTGCTCCTGGGGAGGAAAGCTATGGCAAATCTAGACAGCACACTAAAAAGCAGAGTCATCACCCTGCCAACAAAAGTGCATGTAGTCAAGGCTATGGTTTTCCCAATTGCAATGTATAGCTGTGAAAGTTGGACCACAAGGAAGGCTGAGCACCAAAGAATTGAGGCCTTTGAACTATGGTACTGGAGAAAATTCCTGCAAGTCCCTTGGACTGCAAGGTGATCAAATCGGTCAGTCCTAGAGAAGATCAACCATGATTGCTCTTTAGAAGGCCAGATCCTGAAGATGAAACTCAAATACTTTGGCCACCTAATGAGAAGGAAGGACTCACTGGAGAAGAGCCTAATGCTGGGAAAGATTGAGGGCAAATGAAGAATGGGACAACAGAGACTGAGGTGGCTGGATGGAGTCACTGAAGCAGTCAGCATGAGCTTAAATGAACACCAGAGGATGGTAGAGGACAGGAAGGCCTGGGGGAACGTTGTCCATGGGGTCGCGATGGGTCGGACACGACTTTGCGACTAACAACAACAACAACAACAACAACAACAACAACATGGTCAAAGTTGATGATCTGTCTCAATATATTGGGCAGATATGGATATACCTATGCATGAAATAACACCTGTAACTTATTTCCATAATGTATATATGTATGAAGAATTACAACAGAGTTTTACTATGTCTTGGATCCTGAGATGTGGAGTTAAGTTTCTAAAAAGATTTTCTCTTTTTGTTCTCCTTGACAACCACTATTTTTAAAATTAATTGTATTGCTCTTCAATTAATAACAAAAAGCGAAAGAAATATGACAAGGAGGGGAAAAAAACCCCATAATATGATAAATCATTATAACAATAAACAGTTACAATTCTATATTTATCTAATGCAAACATTATTCAAGTATGTATATATTTCTAATGCACTTATGATAATTATATGTGCATTACAAACATATACATACCTGAATAATGTTTTAACCTACTGTATTTTGTATAAATGAGTCCCATATTTCATTACACTTGTCCATACAAAGCCTTCATCTATAGGCAATCCATTCTTAGGTGGCAAGTGTAATCAGGGCTTCTATCCATTGAGTAAAAGAGGCCATGCATTTATCTTTTTGATGCTGCAACATTTGTCTTTTGGCTATACAGTAGGAAGGGCATGGAGAATTCATTTACATTAGCTGGTTGTCAAATTCCATGTACTAGGTATGTAATTCAAGAGAATATTATCCTTTGAAAACACTGGACAACAATGATTTTGCTTTCGGAACACTTTTGGGTGTATCATATAGATTTGTGGCTGCTAATCACGAAAATTACCTGTAATTTAAACTACCATCTACCTTTTTATAGAAATCTTCTGTTTTTACACAATGGCAATGTACATCCTTCTGTTGGCTACGCTGATGAAAGAAACATACAAAAACATGAATTGTTGAAGGGCACCAGGTACAACTGAAAACACCTGTAGAGATCTAAAAGTAGTGGTTCGGCTGCTTGAATGCAGCTCAGATATACCAAGTACTGTTGTTACATATGCAAATGGGACAGCCATGCAAGAGAGTCACATCACATCAAAAAGAAATGGCTATTCCAAAACAGTTTGGTTCCAGGACAGAAAACATAGCAAATGAGCCACTTGTTGACTCAGCAAAGTTATTTCTGCTCTGCTTGTCCCAAAGGTGCTTTTTCAGAAGGCAACTGGGCTTTCTTTGTTTTCCTTGAAGATGTTTTGCTTCTCATCCAAGAAGCTTCTTCAGTTCTGAGTCAACCAAAGCAAAGTCCAGTTGCTTTTTGAAAAAGCACTTTGGGGACAATCATGACCTGGATGACTGAGAATCTCCGTAGACTTTTTGCTCTGCTTCAAATAAAACTCAAGCTGATGGAAAAAATTGTGAAAGCGATGAACACGGAAGGTGAAGATTTTTGCTATTTGAGATAGATGTTTCCAAGAATAGTTGATGCCAAGATTAAGAAAGGCATTTTTGTTGTCCATCGATCAGATATGTCATCATTGGCAAGTGGTTCGAAGAACTGTTAGTGGGGCCAGACAAAAACACCGGGAAGGCATTCAAGGATGTTGTAATTTTTTTTTGGCAATTACAGAACACCAAACATTTAGCTTTTTTCAAAAACAAAACTTTTAAGTTAAATTTTAGCTTTTGGCATACAATTATATATGTATAAATCCATTACTTTCTCCCAAGACTTAGTAAGCATAGAACATTGCCAAAACTTATCTTTTAAAGAAGCATTATCCTTATTACATCTCCAACAAATTGCTGTTTTTGACAGTCCTTTTGTATATAAATGTAATGGACTTCAATATGTTCTGTATATTATTTTTTGTTCTATAAGTCATAATTTGAAGTTCATCGACACTGTTGCTCTCCCTGACAATCACTATAAGACAATTCTTTGGACAGTCAGAGAACTTTCGAATCAGTGGAAATTACCTAATGTTAGTCTCACACTGAGAAATATAATTTGCTTCTACCATATTGCAGAATAATCCATTCTGTATTCTTCAGAGCATATTTTCCTGGCTCTAAAGAATAGATTTTCAGGATGCCTAGGAATATACTTGGGATGGGT